TGAATTACTCCTTTAGGTGTGTGCCAACCTCGACATTCCCGGCCCGCTACATAGATTGCTGTTTAGGTGTGTTGACCAAAATTTATGTATGACTTTGAGCACAAGACTTAATCTGTTTTTTTCCCCCGGCGCATCGAATACTCGGAAACTAAGGCACCTGCCTGCAACTAGTCTTATCTCGTCTTCACTTAAGTGAATTAATTCTCGCTTGCAAGGGTTTTCGAACAAATGTTGTAATACCATGGTATAACATGCATGACAACAATTTCCTGGAGCATTATATCATGTGCAACTTGCATAAAGTGCAGGACCGTATAACATACGATGATGAGCGCGCACCGTCAGTGCGCACAATGCAGGTCACGGCAATAGGTCTACTATAGGTATACCACTGCTCCATGGAGCTGCCAAGAGCGTTTGCTCTAGAGGTACCATAGGAAATTGCTTTTAGGGTAGCACAAGGTATACGCTAATTGTCTGAGAAAAATGAGGGTTAGCGACCTAGGGTACGTAATCGGCTGGTGTTGTGTGTGGCTGAATGCTGCCAACCATGGTCTCCTGGTGTGGTTGGCATCAATCTGATCAGTAGCCTGATCAAGCACGCCAACCTATCCAACAGCAGTTTGCTAGAGTAAACCTAGATCAAGTCTTCTAGTGCAGCAAGGACTTTCTTCCTAGATCCAATTTGCAGAGGTTGTAGACAGAAAACGGCAGAGACTTCACCGTCAGAATTATCTTCCCGGACATCTGGAATCTGCTACTTTATACTATTCTTCTAATCAAGGTTGTGTTTCCCGAAAAAAAATAATTGAATGTCTGATTCCTCATTCTGTGTGGCAGTTTGCCCGAGGGAGGTGAACTCCTCGTTATTGCCAAGCCAAAAGCCCACCAGAAAATAGATTAGAAGATTCCTTCTATAACTGCGGCTGTTACTTCCTGTCATTGACCACGAATCCTAGTCTAAGGGTCTGTTGGGTCGTGAAATTTGCGAACGATTACCGCTTTTTGGTGAGAGCCGTAACGAAAAAAAAAACTAAACGTGAGAGGTTATTTCGGAAAAAGCGAGGACCTTCTATTGCCTAAACTTGTCTATACCGAGCCCCAAGGCACAGTGGACGAACAGGTTCCGTAAATTACTCGATTTGCGCTCCGCTACCATAGTTTACGAACTCAACCAACTCTCTCTCTTGTCATCATTTACTCATTTATCCTGTCTCCATTTGCGAAGTTAGATGGAGAAATTACGTGTACCTTACCGTGATGGGCCCCCAATGAGTGTAGCCGACAGGAAGAAGTGGTTGCTGCGGATGATGGAGATGCTCACCAAACACGAGGCTGATTTTTGCGAGGCTCTATATCGGGATCTCCACAAAGTAGGTTTGCGTCGAATTCATAAACTGTTATTCCCAGGGCAGACAAGAAGCCTTAATGTGCGATATTCTTTCGGTGAAGAGCGAAATATCAATGATACTGAGTAATCTGCAAACCTGGGCAGATGGTGAGATGGTGAGTTATTGCATGTTTTTCATCCTACCTGTTTATTATTATTTGTTACTTCTCTGATTGTTTTAAGTTTGCAAAAATTTCCATCACAGAAATCCGAAGAGCAATTAGCGAGCATACGTATACTTTCAATAAATTCACATCAGGCCGTTTCATTTATATGATCACGACAGTACGACAGAAAAATCGTTTAACGCCATTTGCTTATTCTATAACTGATGGTGGCCACATAGCTGACTGTGTTAGGCGACTGTGGGACAAATAGATAGCGAGTACAGATATTGGTGTTCGCTGAAGAAAATACATTACCAAGTGAGAGCCAGCACGCTAAGTGGTTAGTTCTAATTGACATCAAGTAGCTTCTAAACGGCTGGCTTACGACCGGCTGCGCACACAACAGACCGAGATTTCGCATGGTCAACAAAAAAAAGAAGTGGTTCGGATCTCAACTATGTGCGAGTGTCATAGAGGTCACATTAAGCTGGAGCCACTGCAGCTTGAGTCGCTGTACTGAAAGGATCAAGCTATCCCGTCAGTTTGGTAGACCGCGACTTTTAGAGCCCTGTAGTTGATTCACTTGCGGGCAGAATACACCGAGAGAGAGAGCCGAATTTCATGCTTTCTTCAGTCATCTGTGCACCAGTCGATTGCTTGAGGAATCGGTCTAAAAACCGATTGGGCGTAATTGCCAGTAGGACTGAGCAGTTCGTCTAGGCTTACCACACCCACCCTGAACCCAACACAAGGGCTTCACAAAAAGAAGGTGAATTGATCAGATCCCACGTGCGTTATATTACAAAGAACTGACATGGAGAAGG